TTTAAGTGCTCCCCACAGCATAGCATATAGTGCCCTTTACTCATATGTAATACAGTACTACACTAATGTACTATGATATAGCACAACATTTATGGTATAGCATGGCATATTCCCATATACTATACCACACAATACTACTATACTATACTATGCTATGCTATGCTATGATATGCTATGCTATAGTACTCAATATTGGATTTTACCATGATATACTATACTCTACACTACTGTACTATACTATTGTATGTGATACTATACTGTACTACACTATACTGTTCTTACTATACTATACTTTAATATGTTATACTATGTGATACTATACTACACTGTATTGCACTATACTACATTACACTATACTATACTATACTATATGATACTACACTATACTTTACTATACTATACTCTAATATACTATACTATACTATACTTTGCTATATTGTTAATTACAAGGAATGAATGAACATGTTAAGTTTATTTCAGCTAATAAAATAAACTATTTACTTTAGTACACGCAAGAATCTGAATTATGTGGATAAACATCTAATCATGTTTACATTCATACTATGCACTTTACTATGTAGGACCAACTTTGACAGGGTAGAATATACTGGCGAAGGTTCCCTGGGTGGAATAGTGTAGTTTAATGGTACATAATTAGTTTGCACCATATCATTATAGTATAATACATTTTATAGGATGGATGGAACTTTACTATATTTATACTTTATAAGTCTACAATATAGGCCTAGTTATTTGGTGCAGATATACTAAACTATCTATACAGTGTTGATTAATCACAATGTTATGACGGAGTATTAGGGCCAGGGTAGAGATAAAGTCGTAACATTACGAGAATAAAGTCGTAAAGTTGCGAGAATAAATACGTAAAATTACGAGAACAAAATCGCAACAAGAATAGTCATAAAATTACGAGAATAACGTTGTACATTTACAAGATTAAAGTCGTAACATTCGAGAATAAAGTAGTAAATTACGAGAATAAAGTCGTAAATTACGAGAATAAAGTCGTAAAATTACAAAAATAAAGTCGTAATATTACGAGAAAAAAAGTCCTAAAGCTACGAAAAACAAGTAGTATTTTATTACAACTCCTATACTTTGGCATCGGTTTGACAAATAAGGAAATTATTATTATTCTTGTAATATTACAACTTTATTCTCGTAATATTAAAACTTTATTCTCGTAATGTTACGACTTTATTCTCCTAATGTTACGACTTTATTCTCATAATATTACGACTTTATTCTCGTAATGTTACGACTTCATTCTCCATATGTTACGACTTTATTCTCAAAATATTACGACTTTATTCTCGTAATGTTATGACTTTATTCTCATAATATTACGACTTTATTCTCGTAATGTTACGACTTCATTCTCCATATGTTACGACTTTATTCTCAAAATATTACGACTTTATTCTCGTAATGTTACGACTTCATTCTCCATATGTTACGACTTT